TATATATATATATATATATATATATATATATATATATATATAATCATAATTTATAAAACTTACATTTCTGCGGTGTAATTGTTTTCAGATACAGCTAGTACCGTCGAAGATGCAGGACATCGCAGGAAGATGCTTGTATGTTTGCCCTCTCTACAAAACCAGCGAACGTCGTGGGATATTATCCACTACTGGTCACTCCACCAATTTCGTTATAGCCATGTGGTTACCTACAATAAAGCCACCTGAACACTGGATTATAAGAGGAGTTGCCATGCTTTGTCAACTCAGTGAATAAAAGGTACAAATATAATCATATTTACTTGTTTATTCCTCAATTCAGTTATCAGTATCGTGACGATTATAGATTCTATATTTCAGAGTATTTAAAAGAATGGTATTCTACACTATGTCTTCGCAGTCTCTAACGGGAGATGTAAATTAACAATTATTCCTTCGTTAGAACTATCCAGGAGTGGCGGCCAATCGCCTGAAGTGATTATTTCTTTCTAGCTTTTCTTCGTTTCTTTACAGAAATACGTTCAAAGTAAGCTCTCCATGTCCTCTGAATAGTTTTAGCAGCCCGATTTCGCTTGAAGAGCTCCAGTTTCTCAGTAAAGATTTTCATCAGAGCAATTTCCCGCTCTGTTTTGAGTTGAGTATACAGCGTCCGTTGCACAACCAACTGATCCTGGTGACAAAAGTAACATTAGTTTGACAGAATCGCACGAGTGAAGTACATTTGAAATAAAAATGCTACAAACCTCCATATCTTTCTTTTCTGAATTGATGAGCTCATTCTCTCTGCACAACTTCTCCATTAAAGCATGACATACACCAATATCACAATCATATTTAGCAAGAAGATTTTTGTATTGCTCCTCGATTTTAGTGCTGAAATATAGAAATGATTAGTAAAATATCTATATTTATCAAGCAATATAAAATTACATGATTATTAGAGATCATAGATTCTTTATAGTTGAACTAGTAAAACTTAAAAAATACTTAAAAACATTTTCAGAACTTAAAAAAATACATATATAGCTGTGATTTGATGTAAAAAAGAGAACTAGTGCAAGCTAATGCAGCCAATACAAGGAACAGACTATATATTGTACTTACCATTTGTCAAAAAGTATTTCTTCAGTTGTAGTATTGAATTCCATGATGTTGTGCAATCTCCGCTCAGCTGTATCTATTTCCGATTGCAATAATTTCTTACGTGCTTCCTCTTGTTCTCTTACATTCAGCATCTTCAATACTGAATCCTTCCTAAAAATTATAGAATTTGTTGTGTAAAATTATATTAAATACCATTATAATCATAATGATACTTCTTATTGAATTAATAATTTTTTTCAACATACACTTCTCTCGGTACATCCACTTCCGATGTTTCCTTGATACTTCTCATTAGTTCTTCTTCATCATTTACGCAGGTTATGATGTCTCTTAGAAAAATATCGAAATTCGAGTTTTGTTCCTCAGACATATTCTGTAACACTAATAATTCATGACTTATAGTCACAGTATATGATGAGTCAATACATAATTCCATTAAAAAGAACATATATGATTAAATTTACCTTCAAGCTCCAACAAAGTTTCTGCTATTTTTGCACGACAATCACGCAAATTGATGAAGTGCATGCGTTCTGCGTCGGGAGTTTTTTTCATTCGAGCTACAATAGACTTTATAAAAAGCTCGAAGCAATCTATGATTTCTTGAATTAACGGTGAACTTTGGGCGTCATATTTTCCAGTCTAGATCAATTGTTAAAGAAAATGCTCAACTTTCTATTGACACTTTGCACAGCGACTTGGGCGCGTAATTTTTCAAAATGGCGTACCACTGGAGTCGAATGAAGTTTAACGTCGAAATATAGGTTATACTCAGTAAAATACACATACGAGCGTATTCATCTATATTTCACGTTATATATAGCATAGAAAATGCGTGCATATACACAAACGCAACTATAAGTATGATCTAATAGAGATATTTTAGAGCACAATTAAAAAATTTACTAATTTCGTCAAACTAGAAGCATTAAAAGAATTAATATTTTTTTTAGTACAATAAAATTAATTTGTTATCATGCAATTTATAAATGTGACAGTGTTATTTACCGACTCGCATATTTTGCTCGAAATGCCCGCTAAAAGTTTCTCCATTCGAATTATCGCAATCGTGATGTCTTCTTCTCCATCCATAATTAATGCTATTTCTCTAAACCTTCTCTAATCTCTTCTTATAGAATTGTTCAGACCAACTTGGCAGACACATCTAACGATCCAACAATACGTAATTCTATGGTTACCATTCTTGCTGAACATTAACATATGAAATATCATAGACATGCCGATTTAAAAAAAGTCTCCCTGTTTCTCTCTAAAGAACTTAGTGTTATTTTATTCACGATTAAAAAATGTTTATTTAACAAGTTTCCTAAGAATTCAATGCTTTTAAAACCTTTGAAACATTAAGGTTATGTCTTGTATGATATTTGATATAAAGATATCTTGTATGATATTTAAACGAATGCGATACAAGACGTTTTGAAATCTTAAAATACATCGAATTACCTTGTTTTATCGTAACATATAATAATTCAGTCACTATTATCTTGTATTTGTGGACAAGCAACAATAAAGTATATTCTAGTCTATCTACTTTAAGCTTCTTATCAAAATAAAGGCAACAGCTGCGCCGTCACATCTTTTCTTTTTTAAATCGTTACATCTCTGTTTCAAGATATGCTTGTGTATGTGTGTGTGAGACAGAAAGAGAAAAACGCAATAAGTAAGAGGTAAAATAAAACTATAAAAATTTTGTTTCTATTTACTTTTCTTGTGTGTTATCATAAGATAAAATTACGAAAATCGAATAAATAATTTTTCTACGTTTCTGACGTTTCACGATACTCCGAGAGAAGGCGTTCCTTTCGGTATTGCGAGCTCAATGAATTTGTCATCGTGCATGCACACAGCGCGCGCGCGCAATCACACACATATGTACAGTGCGAATAATCTCAATCATCTGCTCCGCTGCGACCTCATTGTATGCAACTGGATTTAAACATGACGTTTTAATGGAACTACTATGATATCACCGGAGCGTGTTGCACCTTTCGAGCTGGTATTCAGTCTGAAACAACAAGTACACAACGCACTATAAGATCCATCGCACGATCTCGGGACAGGCTATTATTTTGACAATTATTGCCACACCTAAATTACGCAATGTATTTACCATAAACTCCAGCGTACGTCTTGACACACGTCTATGAAAATACTCCTTTTCTAACATATAGTGTGTGCATGAAGATCTTGTGACTGACAGTGACGATTTCATCTCGTACGTACATACAGCTTTCCTTACAGTGAATCTTGCAAATGCAGATACATTTAAACTCTAAATTTGAATTTAACTGTGCTTGAAATTTTGGCAAAACACCTTCATGAAACTTTCCTTCCACAGTATTGAACAAATTTATGCACAAAGCGTGCTATATCATAAGTGGTATTCATGCCTTTTTGTCTAAGAAGTAACGCTACTTGCAAAATGGAAGAATATTCTGTTGCATCTGATGTGTCAGTGGTGGATGTGTATGACATTGCATCAGAAATAGGCAAGGAGTGTGAAAAACTGATAGACCTATTTGGAGTAGAGTCTGTAACCAATCTTATGCCAAAGGTGATAAACGCTTTAGAGTTGCTTGAGAATCTTGCTACTAAAAATGAGCGTGAAAATACTATGGTACAAGAACTGAGTGCCAAGATTTCTCAACTGGAGAGTGATAAGATTGGAAAAGCAGAGGATAGGCAACGTTTTGAAAAGGTAATTGAGTTTAAACACTTTTATCATATCATAATGTCAGTTTTGATATAAATTATAATTCATACTTTCAGTTGACAGTATAATCATGAATCAGTAAATCTGTATAATTTTTTAGGAACTGGAGCAAATTGAAGAACACTGGAGACAAGAATCTCGTGATTTGGTAGCTATGGTTACTAGATTACAAGAGGAAAATAGACGATTAGCTGAGTCCTTGCAAGAATCCCGTAGTGATAGTCAGTACAGCAGTAAACAAACAAGTACTAACCAATTAACCATCTACTAATCCATCTACTAACAACGATTAAAATATATTTTCAACAAATTAAGAATCTCATGAAATAACTGCTTGCGTTCGTTCTCAGCTTTCACAGCTAGTCAGGAAGTTGACGTGGCTGTTCTGCAACACTTGAGATCCATGATAGACAAGCAAAGGGATCAGATTCGCGCTAGAGACCGGGAATTGTCGCAGAAAACTACAGAGATTGAAAATGTAAATTGGTACTTATATTTCTATACAATTTAGCTATAGTTGAACTAAAAAAGATTCGTTCTTTACTGTGGAATTTTCCTTTTCTTCAGTACTACA